GCTTTGTGTCATACATTTCAAAGCTATCAATCAACCGTTGACAGCTCGTGATCATCTCCGATATCGTCATAACTTTTTGGAAATGGTGATTTTAACTTGTCTCTTGCTCAGTCCGTCACATTACGCCTGATTCTTAGAATCTGAAAGTGTCGGTACCAGCGCGAGGCATCCTTCTCTGTTCACAAGCTCTTGACGATCGATAGGCTGTAAGATACCTTGTGCTGGCCAGACGATGTGTCTTGGACACTTTAGAGAATCTATGTTCTAGAGTTACCTCCCGTGTGTTATATTCCCGCCAAAAGGAATATAGTTGCAGGAGGATTTAGTTGTATTCTATTTGTACCGCAGCATGACTGGAATATATCAACAAAACCTTACAGAATCTTTCAAACTTAATAAATAGGGTTAATAACTTTCTTAAAATTATTATCTAACATCCAGGAAACACAAAGAGAATTGATGTCATCGGATTCATATGTTATACCTTTTGCCTCCTATGAATCTGTTTGGGCAGTGAGATTACCTATTCATTAGCCTAGACATGTTAAATTGATCAATTGTGTGGCATTATGTGTAAGAAAACAAGAAAGGTTTGCAAATTGGTCACTCATAGATCTTTATTTACTTTTTAACATTATATTCATCAAATGTAATGAAGCAAGTTATCTTTCTGAGGTGAGGTGAATTTGGGTTTAACGTCGTGCTTGAGAATATTTCGCTCATATGACGACGTAGTTATCTTTCTGAAGTTGCGCGAGAGCCTGGGGAAAATTATGACTGTATTGAGCCCTTGCCGTGCCAAGTCTTCTCAGAAGGTGCAAAAAAATTCGTACAGAGTTGCGTCCCTTGGGAAAATCTATTATGTGACGTTCTATAAATAACTGAGTTGGAACAGACAATCCAATGATTGACATTATGAACAACGATCGCTAAGGAAGGGAGATACAATGACATCCGTCAATTAAGTCAGAGAGTCTAACAATCCGATCCCGTTAGTTGCCTTTTATGGCAAGCATGATGTGCTGAAGACATTCCCTTTACCTTCACTTCACGAGTAAACAGTAGACCCTGCCTTTTTCAACCCCAGTGGTTATGGACCGGGTTCGATTCCCCTCGTGGATACAACATGTGCTGTCCATTGTTGGTGTCACTTGCCGTGATACTGCTGGAATATTGCTTAAAGCCGCGTGAAACCTTCTTCACTAACTCTGCTCTGAAAACGCACTTGGTTCTTGTAACAACTACTACGCGTGTTTATAATACCTGCTTGATATTTGCAGCCAGTCCTTGGGTCAATGGATATGCACATTTAAGTGTCAATAATGGATTGATTTGTCTTCCTTACATATTTAAGTATGTTATCTATCGCGGTTTTCCTTTGATTCCGTGGTACTCACCGTCTTGGACGGAGAGCGCCCGCTGTATACTGGCGGACCTCCAACGGATCACTCGCTACAGTCATCACCTTTCACCCAACCCCAACCAGAGGCGTGATCCCAAAGTGATTTTTGTGACAGGAGATAGTAAAGGGGTGTGTTGGCCAAATATTGGTGTCTGTTGTAGTTCTGTAACACTGTCTATAATTCACACGTGGGAGATCCTACGAACCTAACTCAAAGTGTCTGAATATTCTGTAAGCGACAACTCCGCAGTGAGAACTTGTCAATGACCAGTCTGGACTCTTAGACTGCAATAATACAATTAGGCCTGCTGAAGTTACTATTCATGTCGAATACTTCGTCATGGCAGACTTTCATAGTTAAACCCCGTTTGGATTGCATGTACTTGTGACTGGTACCACCGGTTGAGCACACCGCGAACACCTTTGACCATCATGATCAAGACTCATCTGTTTTCACCGCATTATGACTAGCTACTAGTCCCTCATTGTATATATGAATATTATCCACCCACTTTGTTAGCGCTTTGAGCATGGGCCTTGTGCATGGAAAAGGCGCATTATAAGTTCACATTTATTATATTATTATTATTAGTTCTGTATAAAATTTACATGTTAATGATATAGTAGGAATCTTACCATCGGTTCTACTGTTAGGTGAGTGAGTTTAGTTTTACGCCGCACTCGGCAATATTCCAGTTATATGGCGGCGGTATGTAAATAATCGAGTCTGGGTCGGACAATCCAGTGATCAACAGCATGAGCAATTGGGATATACTTTTAGGAACGATGTCTTATAGTAATAATATGTTGAAGCTGATGTTAATATGCGTGTATATTTTCTGTTTTTATGTGAAGTAAGTGACGTTTCCAATTTGGCATGAAGTTTCACCTTTACATGTATGACTGTGAGTTCGAAATTTACTATGAATAAGTACTCCTCACATCTACAGCAAGTGTTGTTGGATGGCCACAGTCTATCATCTACAAAAAATGTTTCTTTCACTTCCTACAAACATTGTTTCAACATCCTTTGTTTCGTTTTAACGTCATTTGGCGTTTTTCGGTTCCTGAATTTAAAGAACCTCCCAATTATTGTTTCCTCACGCAAACAGCGAAACAGCTGAGGCAAGGAAAAAGTCGTCCAATGGTCCCTTGGCGTTTGTCCCACTGTTATTCTTAGGTCCATGCTATGTTCATTAAAATTCTCCACTCGAGTTAGATGTATACATTCATGGTTTATGCAAAGCATTTCAAATAGAAGTTAAGGCCTATGTATATGCGGTTTTTAGACTTTTCCAAGCATAGTACAACCTGCCGATTCTTCAACAAACGCAGATCAAATCTCAAGGAATTTTTGTTTACCCAAATACATAAGCACGGAAAGTAAGGTTATTGTAAATTCTAATTATATCTGACAATTATTCATGAATATTTTAAATACAGCCGTGCTTCAATCGTTGTAACAGCATTAACACATGTTCAATTATTTCCATGAACCCGTATTCAGTCATTTCAGTGTTATATCACATGAGATTAGGCAGGGGTAGTGTTATGATTCCGACTTTATTACATTGTTTTCGTCATCCGTACGTACGTAAGTGATTGGGTGAGTGAGCGTGTTTTTTACGCCGCTTTTTACAATATTCGAGCAATATCACGGCTGGGGACACCAGAAATGGGCTTCACACATTGTACCCATGTGGGTAATCGAACCCGGGTCTTCAACGTGACGAGCGAACGCTTTAACCACAAGACTACCCAACCGCCCCCGTACGTACGTAAGAGCGTTATGCTTGATACATGTGCCTTTAAACAGCCCACGGAGTTTGTGAAAGAACGTTGCAGGTTGCCACGTAAAGACGGTGCTTCACTGCAGGCAGTGCTCGGTAACTTAATCAACTTAGCGTACCGTTAATCACGTGCAGTCGTGTTAATTAACACTCTCTTTGTGGCGCATGGGAAAACCTGGCTACACAGAGCACGACGACTCATGGTTGTCTTCCATTCATCATTCCGCATATAGTTAAAAACACGAAAATTGACAACTTTGCAGTTCGTGTTGTTAAATTATGTTTAAATATCTCAGTTTAATGTGCGAATGCTTAAAACAAACACCCATGTGCCGAAGTTGAAGGGACCTAAATATTTCGTTCTTTCTGTCTCATTTTGTTTTGTCGCCATCTTAATCTCACCGCCCCCTCCCCACTCTCTAAACAGTGATCATTATGAGATATTTCGCCACCCCTTCCCATATTTCCCCTAAATGTACATGTTGCATCCATTTAAACTTAATATTATTTTGTTTGTACACACGATCAAAGACATTCTGGTATTTCATCATTTAATAGACTTGATGAAGCTGTAATGCCAACGTTGTTCTCTGCTGTGCTGGTGTCTGTAGTGTTGTTAAGACATCTCCTTAACCCTTCTTTATGGGGGACACTGTGGGAGGTGACATATAAGAGGTTTACATTTCAAATATTACCAATCTGCTTATAACAGCATCTCTCTATTTGTCTGCATCGTGTTCCGCCACCGAGCACTTAATACCGAGTTCAGAGAGACGCGGACCTGGGAGAAGACAACCACTACAAAGGCATGCGATTGGTCCGGACCGTGGCTGTCAATTAGTGGTTTCAGCAAGCTTGAGTGCTTCCCAATTTCAATAGCCGATATTTATGATTGATGCTGCACAAAAGTCGACTGGGATTTGAAATGTAGACTCATAGTTATCACACTGTGTGCAGTGTCAAATTATTGATGAATCAGACATAGTCAAAGGTCATTGCGAGAAATTGCTTGTTCTGTTTGGAGTGGCGGCGTTCGTCTTGCGTCATGCTGTTATACTGGGCAAGCTTTGTTAGACATGATTCCCTTGTGTAAACTTGCCCTTTTGATTATTGACATGGATTTTTGATTGAAAACCAAATATAAACAACTGACGCACGTTCGTGTTTAATGGGACTAAGGTTAAGGTACTATTCAAACTTTGAAATCATATTATTTTCATAAAACTACGAATCCCTAAAACTAACAGTTCTGTTTTACAAGGATTGGGACATGCATCATTACAAATCCTTGCTTTCTTATAACAGAACAAGGGGCGGTGGGGTAGCCTAGTGGTTAAAGCGTTGGCTCGTCACGCGGAAGACCCGGGTTCGAATCCCCACATGGGTACAATGTGTGAAGCCCATTTCTGGTGTCCCCCGCCGTGATGTTGCTGGAATATTGCTAAAAGCGGCGTCAAACCAAACGCAGTCAGTCAGTCAGTACAACAGAACAAGAGGATGGTGCGCTAGGAAGTGTTCACAATGACGGACGATTAAATGGCCATGGTCGTGTAGTTTCCGATAGCCAAACATTCTCCATGAATAATTGATACCAATTTCACACCGGTTTTGTTTTAGGGAAATGTGATTCAAACACAGCGGGCTCAGACAGACAAGCCTTAGTCTAGACTAATAACAAAAAATAGCTTAAACCTATCTAATAAAACAAGCTTACCTAACAGCGTGTCAGGTACTTACAGAAAGACCTTGTTAACTAGCTAACTGTTGCTAATAACCCACATAATATGCTTCACTATTTATCTTTTCAGCTCTGTGTGAACTCGAGCCCCAGTTTAACAGTACACCTGAGCACCTGAGGATAAAGCAGGGATCTCGAGCCGTCCTGCCTTGTTCTGTGGTATACATAGGAGGCCACCAGGTAACAATGTAACTCGGGTAATACACGTGAAGGCAGTTCTTCTTGTGGCTCCAAGCAGACAGATAATGGTTCCGATGGATGGATACTTTCATATTTTTCTGCCAGTTCAAACAAAAAACTTCACCATCTAGCTTCAGTAATGATAGTGTGATGAGATTTTCACCTGTACATCATGTAATATTATTTAACATCATGTGTGTTTCTTAAATATGATTACTATAAGGAATGCATTGTCCTACTACCTTAAGATAGAGAAACCATTACCACAAACCTGTCAACACTACCAAAGGTGATGTCAGTTTTGTCTGAGAAAACACGTTTCTTGACGATAAATGATAAACCGGATCTTCCGTCCAGTCTGTTAAAAAACACTCAAAATGTATATTAATTCATCCGTTTTGATTAATCATGCTCATAAAAATGAGCAAAATTTGAACCTTAAATGAACACGAACCACTGATATGTTATTCATAAACTAACCATGGTTAAAATGGGCAGTGATGATGTACATGTCACCTATCTTGATTATAACGGATAAATGTCTATTCGTCAGTCGCTTATGATACAGACGGGTGTGTGGATATATTGCGGTAAAAATTACAAACAATCCTCACCAGTTAAATTATCTTCCCCCCCCAACGACCCTCAAAACAAAACAAGAAAATAGAACGCCCAAGCTTATAAAGGATACAGCCAACTAACCGACCAACCGACGACCACGTTAGATGGACATCAGGCCCCACTTCACAAAACCTTCTTAAGCGCTACAGATGTTGTACTTTCAGCATATAATCAATAGCGCATCCTCCAGGTGTATGCAAATAGAATTTCTAAAAACGGTTCCGAAGCCGTTCGTACAATGACCGCCAGTTCTTTACAGCACAGCACGTGAGAGAAAAAATTAATCATGTTTTAGATAATTGTAATATGAATCTCAATCATTGGTTTTCACTTGAGGGTATGCTGACTTATTTGTAGAAATGTGTGCATCTGACAAGCCAAATTAATAATGTTAACTAACATTTGGGAGACGTTGTCATTAAGTGGTGTTTTACGTCTCAGTGGACACGGACTTGCCACCAGTTTTAATTTCTCTCTCGACATGCCGCTAATTGTGTTTCTATTTTGCTCTTTTCGTATCGATCTCTGTGTTAACAAAACCAAACTTTGGCTAATTTAATGTGTGACACAAACGCAACTGTGATAATTACTTTAGATAGTTTTTCCCTTCCTCGATATTCTGTTTGTCCACCATTACGTTGTAATATTAGATATTTGATATTATAATTTGATTATTTTCCCTGCGTTGGGCGTATTGGTGCAGCTGAAGTTTGTCAAGTTGCATCTGGGTAGTTTTATTGAAACAACATTGGGCATCTAATGCCTCATCTGTTCAACTGTTCTTGTCAAACAAAATATTTCATTTTTGCTCTTGTATCGTATCAACGATGATACTGTGTTTGTGCCGATGAATAATGCAAAACATTAGCAGTAGTAGTACGTAGTAAAAGTAGTAGTGGTAGTGGTAGTATTAGAAGCAGAAGTAACAATAGAAGTAGTAGTAGAAGAAGTAATAGTAGAGTAGTAGTAACAGTAGAAGTTGTAGTAGCAATAGTAAACAGTAGTAGTAACAGCAGCAGTAGCAGTAGCAGCAGTCGTACTGGTAGGAATAGTAGACGCACTAGTAGTAACAATAGCAGTAGTAGTAACAGTAGAAGTAATAGTAGTACTAGCAGCAGAAGTACTGCCATTAGCAGCAGCAGCAGCAGTAGTAGTAGTAGCAGCAGTCGTACTGGTAGTAACAGTAGACGCACTAGTAGTAACAATAGCAGTAGTAGTAACAGTAGAAGTAATAGTAGTACTAGCAGCAGAAGTACTGCCATTAGCAGCAGCAGCAGCAGTAGTAGTAGTAGTAGTAGTAGCAGCAGTCGTACTGGTAGTAACAGTAGACGCACTAGTAGTAACAATAGCAGTAGTAGTAACAGTAGAAGTAATAGTAGTACTAGCAGCAGAAGTACTGCCATTAGCAGCAGCAGCAGCAGTAGTAGTAGTAGTAGTAGCAGCAGCAGTCGTACTGGTAGTAACAGTAGACGCACTAGTAGTAACAATAGCAGTAGTAGTAACAGTAGAAGTAATAGTAGTACTAGCAGCAGAAGTACTGCCATTAGCAGCAGCAGCAGCAGTAGTAGTAGTAGTAGTAGTAGCAGCAGTCGTACTGGTAGTAACAGTAGACGCACTAGTAGTAGCACAGCAGCAGTAGTAGTAACAGTAGAAATAATAGTAGTACTAGCAGCAGAAGTACTGCCATTAGCAGCAGCAGCAGCAGTAGTAGTAGTAGTAGTAGTAGCAGCAGTCGTACTGGTAGTAACAGTAGACGCACTAGTAGTAACAATAGCAGTAGTAGTAACAGTAGAAGTAATAGTAGTACTAGCAGCAGAAGTACTGCCATTAGCAGCAGCAGCAGCAGCAGCAGTAGTAGTAGTAGTAGTAGCAGCAGTCGTACTGGTAGTAACAGTAGACGCACCTAGTAGTAACAATAGCAGTAGTAGTAACAGTAGAAGTAATAAGTAGTACTAGCAGCAGTAGTACTGCCATTAGCGCAGCAGCAGCAAGCAGCAGTAGTAGTAGTAGTAGTAGTAGCAGCAGTCGTACTGGTAGTAACAGTAGACGCACTAGTAGTAACAATGGCAGCAATAGTAGTAGTAGTAGCAATAGTGCATTAGCAGCAGTAGTAGTAGTAGTAGTAGCTAGTCAGCAGTAGACGCACTGTAAGCAGTTGCTGTAGCAGTAGCAGTTGCAGTAGTAGTAAAGGTAGACGTTGTAGTAGCAGTAGTGGATGTTGTAGGAGGAGGAGTGGTAGTGGTAGTGCTACAAATGATTTAACATATAGCACCAGTTATGATAGTACTTATTAGATGTAACTATCAGAGTTTGCTAAACGAGTAATGGTAATGACTAACATGCAGGTTATATGAGATACTTTACGTCATAATCAACATTACTGATGCATATAAATAATTCATATTAACCAAATGCTAATCGTTTTGGGGGAGTTATTTTAGTTTTCTTTTATTATTAATATTCCGAATAAGTTTAATACAAGCATACAGAAGAATATGTGTACATTGGTATAAATAACAGCTTGTGGCCTCAACAGAGATAAAATACATTAAATATAAATATCAACAGAAATATGTTTTGGTTAAATAGTTATTCAGGATTAAATACTGGGAAGAGAGGAAATCATTTGGTTGAGAAGCTTTCAGAATTATTATTTCTTCTGGAAATAAATTTTTCAGTGGTGAAGATGTTTTTCAATATCCTTAAGCAATTTTTCCAAAGGCTCTTACCTAAAATGGGCTCTTACCCAAAACAAATCAAAGTGTTTGTCAAATCAACTTCTTGAATACTTTCCGTAATCCACTGTTCAAGTTTCTTCCAGAAAGTTTTGGTTTCATCACATTCCCAATATACATGGCATAAGGTCTCATTAGAAACATTACAAAAAGAGCATATTGTATTGTCAACAAGATTCATTATAGAAAGTTCTTTTTAGGTGTGGACAATTCCGTGGAGAAATGTAAATTGAAAATCTAACAGTTTCACATCTTTTAAATTCTTTCTGCAAATATAAAAAGTCTTATGCCAATCAAAATTAATACAATCAAATAATGTTTCCAATTTCTGGCAAATATGAGGGTAACATTTTCATATAACAATTTATCATAGAATAACCTTGATCCTTTCCTTGGGGATATAAAATCCCGTTGAAGAGAATTTATATCAAGATCATTGTATGTTTATGTATCCATATTCCTTTATAGACTTTTTCCAAGGCTCAGGTAAAATAAAAATAAACATAACATAACATATACATAACATAACATAACATCTAAACGTGTACCTCGTATATCAAATTTAAGCTTCAAATCTTCAAAGGATATAAACCCATGTTCATCGCAAAAATCCTTGATTAAAATAAAATCTGAGTGTATAGTTTCATGGCGTTTACAAAGGTCTTAACATTAGTCATCATGCGTTCTCTCTCTCTCTCACACACACACACACACACACACACACACACACACACACACACACACACACACACACACACACACACACACACACACACACACACAAACAAACAAACAAACCAAAACACACACACACACGGAAAAAGATTCCACTATTGGAAAAAAGGGAAAACAGAGGTGACAGTTATAAGAATGGATCAGTGATGACACCAGATGTTCGAAGTTGAGTAAAATTACAAGTATTGTTAAATATGTATAAGATAACAAGCAGTAAAAACATAATTCAATAAGTGACAGTCAAGCACAAGTATAGTATTATAGTATATGTACAGAACTACGATGGAATATCCGATGATACAGATTTTTCTGTGCGTGTATGGTGAGTGAGTGAGTTTAGTTTTACGTCGCCCTCAGCAATATTCCAGCTATATGGCGCCGGTCTGTAAATAATCGAGTCTGGACCAGACAATCCAGTGATCAGCAGCATGAGCATCGATCTACGCAACTGGGATACGATGATATGTGTCAACCAAGTCAGCGAGCCTGACCACCCGATCCCGTGTGCTTAAATGGGGAAAAGAGCAGTGAAACTTAAAGGTGTGACGATACAGAAATTTCACGATATGATACATATCGCGATATCTTGGAACGATACGATTCGATACGATGCATATCACGATATGCTATCTTTAGTTATTTTCTTTAAAAAGGTGTATTTTGATAACAAGTAACAGTGTAAATTTTTACAAGGTCAACGATACATATCACGATACGAAAAAAAGTATCGATATATTTATTGTCAGAAAAAGTATCACGATTATCGATACTAGGATATATCGTCACAGCTCTAGTGAAAATATATAAATGGCACCTGGTGTTCGGAAAAGCACGTTCTTCCCTAACCGTGAAATCAATTACTACATAAGCAATGTGTCTATGACCGCATGGTTCCAGCACCACCTACAACTACAGAATGTCTCACGTGTATACGACTTTGAAGGGCAAACTGTCCATATTGCTTGAGCCCATGGCCATTCGTTATATTATATGGGCATGTTGGTCATACATAACGTCTTGTTTGTACCCACCGCTCTCAAACTACATGCTGTAGTCCCCAAGATATGCCCATATTATTTCACCCCCATTGCTGATGGAATGTACAATTAATTCATCACAGGATGTTTATGACAGTGAATGTGTTTTGCGCCGTCATGGCAAATAGATTACGGGTAGTTTTTGCTGAATGGGTTTTCACCTAATGCATGTTCTTATAGCCTACATACCTTCTTCTTCTGAACACCTTTGTAGCTTCTGCCGTGGTATTTGCGTCACCTCAGATATCGAGGTTCTGTGCTCGGAAGGCTATAAACATGCTGCCATGTTTTCACAGTTAGCCATGGGATGACATCAGTGCTGTGATATCCAAACGATCACGACTTTATCTTATTTATATTCAGATAACAGAACAGATTGTTGTTACGTGCTATTTGTTTTGTTGTTGTTGTTTTGGTTTTGGTTTTTTTAGGGGGTGTTTTTGTTTGTTTGTTTTGATTGTTTTTTTTGTTTTTTTTGTTTTGTTTTTTTGGGGGGGTGTGCGCAAAATAGTTTGCTAGGGATCTATTCAAAGCCCAGAATCCCCAAATAGTTTATATTCATTATTTTGTGGAGTCCAGTATTCATAATGAAGGTGATTCTTTAGAATAAGTATAAAATAATGTTATGGCTGTAGTGTAGTGTACAAGTAACAGTCATGGTTTGATGAACGGGTCATGGCTGTAGTGTAATGTACAAGTAATAGTCATGGTTTGATGAACGGGTTATGCCTGTGGTGTAATGTACAAGTAACAGTCATGGTTTGATGGCTTGATGAACAAGTAATAGGTTATTATGATGTAGTGTACAAGTAATAGTCATGGTTTGATGATGGGGTTATGCCTGTGGTGTAATGCGTACAAGCAGTCATGGTTTGTGAAGGGGATGTAATGTACAAGTAACAGTCATGGTTTGATGATGGGGTTATGCCTGTGGTGTAATGTACAAGTAACAGTCATGGTTTGATGAAGGGTCATGGCTGTTATGCCTGATGGTAGTATGGTTTGATGTACAAGTAACAGTCATGGTTTGATGAAGGGGTTATGGCTGTGATGTAATGTGATGTACAAGTAACAGTCATGGTTTGATGATGATGGGGTTATCTGTGGTGTAATGTACAAGTAACAGCATGGTTTGTGGTGGATGTACAAGTAACAGTCATGGTTTGATGATGGGGTCATGGCTGTGGTGTAATGTACAAGTAACAGTCATGGTTTGATGATGGGGTTATGCCTGTGGTGTGATGTACAAGTAATTGTCATGGTTTGATGAACGGGTTATGCCTGTGGTACAAGTAGTCATGGTTTGATGATGGGGTTATGCCTGTGGTTAATGTACAAGTAACAGTGAGTTTGATGAAGGGGTTATGGCTGTGTACAAGTAACAGTCATGGTCATGGTTTGATGAAAGGGTTATGCCTGTGGTGTAATGTGAGTAACAGTCATGGTTTGATGGGTTATGCCTGTGGTGTAATGTACAATGATGAAGGGGTTATGGCTGTGGTGTAATGTACAAGTAATAGTCATGGTTTGATGATGGGGTTATGCCTGTGGTGTAATGTACAAGTAACAGTCATGGTTTGATGAACGGGTTATGCCTGTGGTGTAATGTACAAGTAACAGTCATGGTTATAGCCTTGATGTAATGTACAAGTAACAGTCATGGTTTGATGACCGGGTTATGCCTGTGGTGTAATGTACAAGTAACAGTCATGGTTTGATGAACGGGTTATGCCTGTGGTGTAATGTACAAGTAATAGTCATGGTTTGATGAACGGGTTATGGCTGTGGTGTAATGTACAAGTAACAGTCATGGTTTGATGAAGGGGTTATGGCTGTGGTGTGATGTACAAGTAACAGTCATGGTTTGATGAAGAGGTTATGCCTGTAGTGTGATGTACAAGTAATAGTCATGGTTCGACGAATGTGGTTTTAAAATACTGGTATTAATATAACCATTTCAAATAATGGTCGTGTTTTGATTTTTGAGTGATGGCTGTGATATAATGTACAAGTAATGGTCCTGGCAACAGTTATCCAGTTGGCTCTCGTTGTACTTCCAGGTTGTGTGGTCGAGTCCTCGGAAGACACTTATAAGCTTGGAGGACCGGCGTTTGATAGATGATCAGAGGATCAGCGTAGAGCGACCCTACATCAAGGAATGGAATCTCCACATCAGGAACGTCCGTTATAACGACAGCGGGACATACAAGTGTGAAATCAACACAGACCCCATACAGTTTAAGGAAGTTACACTGGCAGTTGTAGGTGAGTAGTACAGGTGAAACCCTTGTCACGAAAATAGATCTCACTCTGCTTTGTAACTGAGTAGACAGGTGAAACTCCTGTCACATAGATCTCACCCTAAGTTGTAACTGAGTAAAACAGGTGAAACCCTTGTCACATGCATAGATCACACCCTAAGTTGTAACTGAGTAAACAGATGAAATCCCTGTCACATATATAGATCTCACCCTAAATTGTAATTGAATAAACAGGTGAAATCCTTGTCACATATATAGATCTCACCCTATGTTGTAATTGAGTAAACAGGTGAAATCCCTGTCACATATATAGATCTCACCCTAAGTTGTAATCTCACCCTAAGTTGTAACTGAGGTAAACAGGTGAAATGAAACCCTTGTCACATATATAGATCTCACCCTAAGTTGTAACTGAGTAAACAGGTGAAATCCCTGTCACATATATAGATCTCACCCTAAGTTGTAACTGAGTAAACAGGTGAAATCCCTGTCACATATATAGATCTCACCCTAAGTTGTAACTGAGTAAACAGGTGAAATCCCTGTCCCTTATATAGATCTCACCCTAAGTTGTAACTGAGTAAACAGGTGAAACCCTTGTCACATATATAGATTTCACCCTAAGTTGTAATTGAGTAAACAGGTGAAACCCTTGTCACATATATAGATTTCACCCTAAGTTGTAATTGAGTAAACAGGTGAAACCCTTTTCACATAGATCTGACCCTGTGTTCAGAATTTGAGGGGTAGGGTGTACGGGCATCTCTCCTTGTATAGAGGTGATACTCACAGTATTGATGGGGAATGCGCTTTGTGTAACAGTACCTAAAATTCCCATGTCTAATAGCACGATGTCCGAACACGAACGGGCATTGATACATACCGATCCTTGTTCCATTGGCTGTTACGACTAGCGAGAGAGATAAATTAAAACAAAATATCCAGCAAAAAATTAGAAACGACAGAACATAACTAATCCCCTTCAAATGAACACGTGTCATCTATAAATGCTTTTCTCGTCGAGTGAGTGAGTGAATGATGCGTGTTCCATCATTCTCTTTATCAACCCCACAACAGTAAATCAATAGACGGCATAAAGAACGCCAGAGGTAATCAATTTGAACGTGTAACCACTGCTTCATCTTCATTGAGGGGAACATATAATGCGGTTAGTACACCAACAGGAAACATATGTTTCCTTTACTGTGGGAAAACTGAAAAAACTCTGACATTTATTTGAATGATTTAGGAAGGCATCAGTTATGCATTTGCTACAAATTATCTCCCTTTGACAGTTCCGCCCACCATCATCAGCAAGCTTTCCTCAGACAACCTGAAGCTGAGGGAATCAGACACGGCAGAGCTGGTGTGCAACGTCACGGGGGTGCCACACCCAAATGTCACGTGGTTCAAGCGGAATTTCAGACACGGACGAGGTCATAAAGAACGTACGTACATTGGTACAGGGACATTCACAACTGTTTTGTTTTGTTTTTTAACGCCGCACTCAGTAATATTCCAAACAATAACACGGTCGTCTGTAAATAATCGTATCTGGACCAGATAATCCAGTGATTGATGTCATGAGTAGCGATCTCCGTAGCTTGGATGCGATGACATGTGTCAACCAAATCAGCAAACCTGACTACCCGATCCTGTTAGTCGCTTCTTACAAGCATTGGTCCCAGAAACTCTCCCTACTATGCCACCAGGTTTCACCTTAAGTATAGGGTCTTATAATTTGTTATGGCGTGGTAGTTCAAGTCAGAACAGTTGAACCCGTGGGGAAATATGTTTGCAAGTTTTTCCGGAACATTTCTAATCAATTCTTTTTATAATCCAGTCCCTAAGGGACAGTGGATGTTGGTGGGTGCACGAATTGGTAATTTGGGGGTAGCATCTATAGACAATGCACCAGTGATATCGGGGCTAAGGCACGGAGGGCAATGTTGTCTGAGGTGCGTAATTGACTGTGCAGAGTTGTGGATCCGAAAATCATCAGTAATCAAGTACCAGATTCGACATGTTTCTGATACCTAGTTTGCACTGAATATCCGCACTCCTTTGTCGCCGCAACATGCAACGCAAGGTCAGGTCCTTCAACTATAATCAGATGTCACAGTATATATTACTGAAATACCGTTCCAAGCTGAATAGACTTTAACTCACTCACTCTTGATGTGAAAACCACGACTTGGTGCTGACGTAGAGTTGTATATAGAGTTGTCATTTATGAAATACTGAGAATCACGAAATACTCCTTTCAGTGTTATGCACAGGAAATAATGATCTATCAGAATATGATATATCAATATGTAATTGTATTACATATACACCAAACTGTGTTCTTTCGTATGTCAAAGTGTTACTATCGTCGTGGATTCGTTTGTGTCTAACATTTCATCCCAAGCTTTTTCAGGAAAGTTCTTGGGCTTTCGTTCAAAGAGGATATACCGACGAATTCCTAAATTTATCTAATAAAGGAACACTATTACTGTTTTCAATCTCAGCGAGCACGTTAATATACTTGGGGTTCGTTACATCTTTGAAAGATAAAGGTTAAGTACAGTTCCTCAATCACCAAATACCTGACGGTCCCTTCTCACTGATTGCTGTATCTTAGATATTTTTCACACGTTAGATGAAAAAATAGATTATCCTTTCCTAAGCGAAAGCGCAGTTGGCTGTGGATAAACAAAGGCTTTTTGTCTAATCAGAGCACAGTTCCACGGTCAAACAACACAAAAATAGTTTTTGGTTTTGCAAGAAGTGCATCCGTTTGTGGAATTATTTCCTGCTGTAATTCTGTGTACTTTCAGCGGTACCAGCATAGTTTGATTGGTATTTGTATCGATAAAAGTCCCGAACTTTGACAATACGGTCGAGATAATTTTAGCATGATGCAGAGATTTTATTTCCTGGCAAACTCGTGTAAATTTAATTGGAGGTCTTTTTGGTCGTACCCTCAAAGATTAACGGCTTCACGTAAAACTCAAGGATTTGGCTTCGCCTCATGGAAGAGACGAAGACACATTCCCTCCAGCAACGATCATTTATTGTCTTAAAATGTGCGCCGGTTTTATCTCTCGAGTGGCCGCACAGCGATCTTTAACCGAAAATCTATCTGGATCCTATTTGACTCGAGCCGCAGAAGGAACTGATAAAATCATCCTCACTCACTTTTCTGATTTTATTTCCCTTTTACACTGATCTGTGGCGGCGGTATCAGTGAGTCCATGGGTAGCCACATGTACGATGAGAGTGGGGACTAGATTGGGGTGGAGATTGGACTGAGAAGTCGGCTTTTAATGAGGATACACGGAAGTACATATATGTTAGTGACGGTCAGAGATAAGGAAGCTCTCAGGTCGGTGTCCAGGCCACTTCACAGCGTCGGACAGAACACCATAATGGACGCGCTTCTGCCTATTGTTTGTCCTGAGTCTACAGAGATGGGAAAGGGGATGAGTTACACTGAGAGAATATTTTGTTGGGGAGATGCACTCATCGACACCTTTTTGCAAAGGGAAGTGTAATTCTTCTAATGTGTTAATAACCTCATGAATATTATTATCCTGTAAGTATTTGAAGATAAGTATAACAGAGTGAATCTTTTGTGATGAAAAATTTATCACAAGATATAGATTCCGTTTTTTGTGGAAGATGATGTTATCATGTTAGGTTTGAATTCGTGAGCGTTTGATGTTCTGTCGCTTCATTTCTTAACATGTGTTTTTTTCAAATGAGGAGATGCACTCTGGTACTGAAACAATGCTTTTGCGGATGCTGTTGCACGTTTATTCAAATACAAACTGTCAATACAGAACACAATATGAATGATTATATCACTAATCTATTAAGGCATATTCTTACAGTTAGTTTCTTCAGGAATCAGATTAAGGCCAAGGTGTCTAAGGCACCTCGAGTATGTACAGAGTTGCGTCCCTTATGCGTGTCAGGAACTTATGATTGTGGGTTCGAATCCCAGATTCACCTTGATATTGTCACGTTTGTCAGGCCTGTGCCCCAAGGTGGATTAAGGAAAGTTGTAAACATACAAAACCAGCCTCACTTCTAGAGTTTCCTCAACATCAACAGACACCCATAATGATCAGGAATAGAACTGATCTTCAGCAACTTACGCTTCTCGTATGAGGTGGACAGGTTCGCTGACTTGCTTGACACATGTCATGGTATCGCAATTGCGTAGATCACTTATGCTGTTGATCACTGGATTGTCTGCTCTCATGTAGTTTGTATATTGCTGAGTGCAGCATTAAAGAACAAAACAAATGAATAGTCTAAAGGTCGATAATTGTGCAATAATCTTCATCGAAACATAGCAAACACTCCTTGACAAAACTGAAAGATTGTTCAAGGCGGCAGTTAACCGATGTTTTATTAATAATTACTAATGTGTCACTGGACTTTGTTTCAGGAATCGGTCTAGAAGGGGAAGTGTTGATAATCCACAATGTCACCCGGTACTGTGACGACATCTACGAATGCTACGTTGACAACGGCATTCCCCCAGCTGTCAGCAAAGCCATCAGAGTAGTTGTGGAATGTAAGTCATATGTCGACATGCGCGTTGCCAGCTGTGTTGCCACGGTGAAGACATTTCTTGTAAAAACGCCAGTCAGTTCCAAGGTCACAAAAGCATGTCCTGAAAATTAGATATACTAAAACAGTTTCCATTCCCATACAAGAAATAGCTTAGTGATACATTACGGTTTTTGTCACCTCTGTCACTGTATCTGTACCAGATGTATAGGTCAGTGCGTCTTGAAAACGTACACTGTCTAAACACTGTAGGCTCTGTAGCTCACCTAACAACATTAGCGAGTGAGTGAGTATGGCTTTACGCACTTTTAGCAATATTCCAGCAACATCACGGCGGGGAACACCAGAAATGGGCTTCACATATCGTACCCATGTGGGGAAGCGAACCCGGGTCTTCGGCTAAACGAGAGAACGCTTTACCCACTAGGCTACCCCACCATCTCCTGACCACACTAGATTTGTAAAGTACAAACTACGTTTATAACGAACAGGCTTATAAGGAACTGACAGATATAACGAATCACTTTTACCCTTCCAGTTTCTGTATATTTCAGGGGCGGTGGGGTAGCCAAGTGGTTAAAGCGTTCGCTCGTTACGCCAAAGACCCGGGTTCCATTCCCCACATGAGTACAATGTGTGAAGCCCATTTCTGGTGTCTCCGCCGTGATATTGCTGGAATATTGCTAAAAGCGGCGTAAAACCATACTGACTCACTCACTCACTGTATATTTCAGTAGAAATACGTATAACGAACTACTAGGATAACGAACTGAATAAGTGGTCCCTTTGAGTTCGTTATATAACCATTGTTGACTGTAAATCACCGCGGTGGGGTAGTCTTGTGGTTAAAGCGTTCTTCCGTCACGCCTAAGACCCCCTGTTCGATTCCCCATACGAGTAGAATGTGTGAAGCCCATTTCTGGTGTCTCCCACCCTGATATTGCTGAAATATTGCTAAAGGTGGCGTAAACCTAAGCTCACTCACTCACTGATTACTGTAAATCGGAAGATAAAATACCTCTTTTTCACTTTCTTTTTGCATAATGAATGACCTGTGAATGTCACGATCATAAATTTTGCATGTTTTCAATGAAACCCAAATTCTGTACAAACCTAAGATTGACCATCTGTCACATAGTCCATGCATCTTTACAGTTCCAGAGAGATAATCAAAGATATAAATTAATACTTCTGTGATGTTCAATCCTACTGCGCGCTAACAACACGTCATATTTAAAATGTACAATATATCCACCTAAATGTATAATAAATAATAAAAATAGCTTTCAACTGATCGCCACGGACTTATCATATTAGGCCACTGATAGAAAGAATCTAAAAAAATCTAGAACAGACAACACTGTATTCTATCACTCCGTGTTGCGTGAGTGGTTTCTTAAAAGATGTCGAAATGTGAAAAGGTCCACATTTTTCTTAGTTTCGAGAGCAATTTTCTAAAATCGATACAACGAACAATGACGTCTCTGTTGTCCATTCGTTATAGAAGGAACTACATGATTTCAATAGCAGCAGCTCTTCCGGAAGTGAATGTCACGGCGACCCACATCAATGATGTCTGGAGTCCACGGAACTTCATACAACCCAGCGCTATGTGACCGGCCATGTTTATATAGACTCCTATGACATCATGTTACATGTATATCAGTGCTCTGGTTTTACTCTGCGTGGTGCTATTGTACTGACTGCTGGTCGAGACCCTTCTTTCCTTGACATTGAACACGCAATATGTCGTAAGACACACTGTGAATAGACCAATCCCATGGTAACGCGAAAATACCAGACATCGCTATATAATGCATATATGACTTGTGTCAATAAATACATTCATTTAAAAATATCATAATTGAGGTTCGCAAACCTCTCAAACATTGTGTTGTGGCATCTCCCGAGCCAAACAGCATGATCAAACGTTTCAAGGTTCATTAGAGAGCCATTATTTCTAATTCAGTCTTGATGTCTAAATTTTCTCTTGAAGTACTGACTTGAAATGACGTAGGAACATCATTGCAAGGTTGTGATGAGCTGGAAGGGGTCTTTTATGGGACATACTAACACCCTCCGCAACAATAGGGTTGTCTTCTTCGCAATGTTTACATAATATGAAGTCTGCGTGTTGTAATTACACCATTGAGATGCTTCTGTAAACCAGATGCCCATGTTCGCAAGTCAATGTGTGCCAAATTAGTTAATAAACTAACGTAAAGCAGGCTTCCTGTAGGTTTTGTCCCGCGCGGATTCTGCAGTGGAGGTTTTGTAAAAAACACTCATCAAGACTGTCAGTATTGACGAAGGCAAGAGTCATTGTGTAAATATTGCTAAATGAATACCACGAATTCGGACAAAAAGGAAATGTACCGAAGTGAACTTAATTGTTTAAACTCCCATCTCGGATTTCTTGAATCCATACACATAGGTTGTCTAACCTATCAACCTGCAACTGTATCCTTCGCATCTCAACACTCATCCACCTACACATCTCGCCAGACACAGCTGCCATCGCCATCCGACACAGCTACACTCAATATCACTCATTCTGTCTCCATCCAACAAGCTCCCTTCTACCCTTTCCCCACTAGTCAGGACTTTCACATTATCTCCCCACACTCATTCCATCCACGACTCCTCACTTCCCTTTACCATATCCATGTCGGGAAATCTCGCAGATCTTTGAAATGTGATACACATGTGCATACAGAAAAGGAACGAGGTTTATAGCCACACGTGTCATCACAACACAATACTTTGATTCCATGGCATATAAAAGGTCCTCCCCGTCCGTTACATAAACGTTCCAGTGATGAACCTGATCGACGTATATAAAGGGTTTAGGTTTGTCCCGGAATGACGCGAGAGACTTGACTGATGAATGTCACGTTCTGTTGCAGTTCCACCGGAAGTGGTGATGCCCAACAAGCGTATTGGACAACGTATCGGACGTGAGACCATTTTGGAATGCATTGTCAATGGCAACCCCCCAAGGACTGACGTTCTGGAAGAAGAATGGACGCCAGATAATAACGGACGAACGTTTCACGGTGGAGGCCTACGAGGACATTGAGAACAGGATAGTGACTCTCAGTCTCCGGATTAACCCGCTGGAGAAGCAGGATTTTGGCAGATACGTTTGTGAAGGAAGCAACCATCTAGGAATGGACAGAGAAGAAATGGTCTTATATGGCAAGTGATTTGTTTCCCTTAACATGATTTAACATAGTTTAACAATGTACTTGTATTTTTGGAATGGTAGGTTTTCAACACGTACATACAACTTTTCTAGGTGACTACGATGGAAAAACATGGGTTTTTCTGACCCGTATGATCCTTTGAGTCATACAAAACGACAAAATGATTGGGGTCCATGTTGATTTTATGATGATAATTGCTCATTCTAAAAGTATGGCCCTGGAATGTTTAATGTGAACATTCAAAATGTCATTTTGCGTATCTTACACGATTCAAGGTCAATACTGAGTGTAACCTCCATGTGACTGTATGACAGCTAGCACGCTCCTCTTCATACCCCGTGTCAACCTCCTGATTCTCTGAAGGGGCAGTTTCCGCCATTTCTCGTGTAAGGCATCTTCCAATTGGGACAGGTTCTGTACAGGAGGATCCCTTTGTAGCACTCGACGACCAGTCATGTCCCAGATATGCTGCAAAGGGTTAAGATCGGAGCTGATTCAATCGTGCGATATGTCAGGGGGTGCTTAACTAAGTTCTTTGTGTATGTGTTGTCATCAAAAGATAACGTTTATCACGGGTGGTTGTACGTTTATTGATCACGGAAGGGATTGAGTCCTTTATTGCAAACGTCACTTCTAACTTGTTACAAACACATGAATATCAAGTAATTAGTTGAATAATAGTTTGATTATTTTTATAGAATTTAAGCCGGAAACCACAACAACGCCTTCAACCACACAGAGGCCGTTTTATGAATTAATACCACACAACCCCGACGACGGTGATGAAGACTTTGACGACCGCACGGACGAGGAGAGTAGTTACGTCTCCGACAGGCAACGCCCTGGACAAGCCTCCACTGTGTACCCGGATCACCACCAAGGAGGATACCCAGACAGACAGCAGCCCACCAAATCCCCAACTAGTAGATATAGTGGAGAGACGGGCAGTACGTATAATGTTTATACACATAGGTCTTTGACTGGCATGTGGAAGTTGGTACATTGCCTACGATGTATCATAGTATAGGAGCTCTGATGCACGGTTCAATGTTTACTACGATCATGAATATTAGTGAGCGAGTGAGAGAGTTAAGTTTTACGCCGCACTCAGGAATATTCCAGGTGTATGGCGGCGTCTGTAAATAATCGAGTCTGGACCGAGTCTCCAGTGACCAACAGCATGAACATTGTACTATATGCAATTGGGACAAGATGTGTCAACCAATTCAGCGAGCCTGACCACCCGATCCCGTTAGTCGCCACCTTCGACAACCACGGGTTATTGAAAATCAATTCAAACCCGGATCTTCACGGGTCCGGATATGAAGCTGACAAACCTGAAAACAGCACACATGGTATTCCAACTCACGACCATGGGTTTCTGGCATGCCTAAGGGATGCCACTCGTGCACCCGATTGATCAGGACTGACTGACTGACTGAGTTTAGATTTATGCCGCTTTTAGCAATATTCCAGCAATATCACGGCGGGGGACACCAGAAATGGGCTTTACACATTGTGCCCTTGTGGGCAATCGAACCCTGGTCTTCGGCGTGACGAGCCAACGCTTTAACCACTAGGCTACCCCACCGGCCCGATTGATCATGAAGAAAAATGTGTTGGTGTTCTCCTATTTGTTCATTGCTATTACCAATCAGCACCAATTAACTACTGAGTTTCCCTTGTTAAGTGCCCACCATGGCCATCTTATCCCTGTTGTTGTACTTACATAGCTATTTGCTTCCTAGTTTTTTCACCTCATTAAAAGCAAGAATATAGTCCGAAGTTGACATCCATACATTTTCACCCCTTATGTGTACCTTAATTAAATGCATTAAAGGCTTTAACTTGTTTAATGTATTCAATGACGCTACAGCTGCAGTTCTGATCCATTCTGTGGAACGAGTTCAGAAGTTTCAATAGAAAAATAGTCCTCTAACAATAAGCTCTTTCAGAGCTTCCACGTTTACCAAGAGACGTCTTAGAAGCGTGTAATCTTACCTTGTATACAAAAAGTATATTTGATATATCAAATAACACAGTTACATGTTCGTCACATCATTTGACGCATTGACATCAGTATCTTACTGAGTGTAATATATATTGACACTTTTAAATGAATTTTGGTAACGTTACCTTCTGTGTACAAATTATACCATGAATGTATATCAGATGGTACAAGGACTTCCTGATGAAACACTGAATCGGTGAACATGGAATTACTCATATTTACACCAATATCAGATGTTTAGGATGTAAAGTAATAACACATTCATTGAAATGGATTTCATTACAGAGATTCAAATGACAGATTAAAGTAATAAATTCCAAGCTTATTGGCTTGATTATATTGTAATGTCTCTTGTTAATATTTGTATTGCAATTAAATCGATAGGACAAAATACGTGAAAGGTTAATACCTGTACATTATGCATTCTTTATCATCTAATCTCATATGAAAATGGCCATATCAGCTCTCCAAGATATTTTTGGCAGCAGTAATCTCAAGAAATCTAATCAATGTTTGAAGTGAATTCCTCATTGTTTTTCTAATTTTTTTCAGATGATCCTAGATCCATTCTCCGTCAAGGAAACTGTGCCTCAGATGAAAAATATACTTTTATTGCATCCATATTGACTGTGATGAATATTTGGTTGATTTCTTGACCTCAACATATTGTATCATAGCTGACACCAAAGTGAAGATCACATGACGTCACATCCGGCGGGTATATGACCCAATGAGAAATCTGAACAAGAAAGGTTTGCAGTGTTTAGACTGAAGAATACGGTTGCAGATGGACCTTGTGTGTGTGATTTGAACAAGTGGTGTCTAGTATCGAAGGCAAAGATTTTATCAGGCAGTATTACTGATTGGAAACCCCTTTCACGTTGTCATGATGCATCTCGTGGATGCCCAACACTGAGCAGAGATACATGCACTCCCTGGAACCAAATGAACACAAGGATGACGAACACATCTATATAGGGTTATGGCTTAACCCGACATCACACATCTGACGAGATGTGCGTGAAAGCAAAGACGGTGTTTTTAATGGTTATTAACTGTAATGAAACTGGTCCATACCAGGCAGTGGAGTTCAAATCAATATGTTTGCATTTGCTACTTCTGTGACATGTCCAGGTTCTGTACAAAGGTATTTAAACTAGTTCAAACGTGTACAATACACTGCTCTCTTGTGTTGTATGATATCAATGATTGTATGCATAGTTCTGTATGCAAGTGAATCGTTCAACATATCCAAATTCCTTCTTTGATCAACGAAGCCATCATTCCGATTTATATGTATCTTTTACGAATGTTTCAAAAGGTGGGATTAATATATCAGGAAAACAATTATTTTAATGAAACAAATTTGGAAAATGACATAAAATCCTATATTAATTATACATTTAAATACAATCTTAATTTTTGCGAAAACATATTCGTATATTACGACACACTTTTTTTTAAAATGATCTCATAGTATTGATTAATATTAACCAGTGTCTTGTATTAGCTCAAAATTCCATTTAGGATTTTTATGCTATTATAGTATTACTAAATATGTAGAACACATTGCAAACAAATGTCCTCCCAACCGGAGAGTTATTTCGCTCTTCTATGCACCTTCACTGTTGAAGTCCACCCTTTATGACCAAAGGTTATATGACCTTGATCCCTTGATCATTTCTTAAATAGGTTGAATACTTGAGATTAAGTCGTTCACATTGAAACTCGAGTTCACACCCTTTCATATGAACATAATATGTGTTGTTGCATAAGCCACGTTTGGCCAAATTCTTGCATATTTAATCGTCTTAATTTGTATCCGGGATAAATGAAAAAAATGTTTTATAAGTGTTATCCTTTGCATCACTATTCAAAGTCATTAAACTACATTAGTACTAAACTACACAAAGCATTCGCCATTTCATCAGGAATCACCTTCTCGTTGTTTGTGTTTGATTGCCATTTCTCAAATAGTGAATTTTAGGTACTAATTGAAGCTGCTGTAATTATTATCCCAGATCTGAAATGATGTTGTTTCTCCATCTTTAATGGATCAGAGTCTCAGTTCCCCACCCTCCCTTCATGCACCGCATAACGGAGCATATTGCACCCCCTCTGTACATACGACTGTGTAGGTATTGATTGAACGATCTCTGGACGTGTGTATCAATGCTGTACATATTTATGGGAGATTGCTATGGTGCTATCAAGCTAAACGTAGTTAGTGTATTTAATTATTAAACAAGGGGTCGTCGCCCTCAAAATACCGAACACGCTGCATTGATTATGGCTATCAAAAACACACTCCTCTAGTCAGTAAACCAATTTTGATAATCTAATTCATTCTGAAATAGCCGGTTGCTATAGTAAGTAAGCGACAACGTCCTAATCTCAAACGGACTTCCACTGATAGAATGTTACAATTACGTGGAGATCCGTGTTTTTCTACACATTGTGGAACTAAGGTCCCAGATGCAAAGGTAATTGCTGGGTCAAGGCCAGATAACACTACTATATATGAATGGTTATTTAGGTAAAATATTGGGAAATTGGTTGTGCGATTATCATGTTCATATAGTTTAGAAATTGCATACATTTGTCAGTATTACCTTTGCTAGTGGATTTGTATACCGACAGGCTTCAAATTGTGTTCACAAACTACACAATATAGCATGCTTTAACATAGCAAAACACCCAAAACAATTTATAGGAAATATTTATTTGAAGATGTAGTATCTTTAAGCTGTATAGTTGGCTCAGGAGTTCGGCATTCGAAGACGTTAATCTAGAATGTTAACACAAATTGATGTGTTTAGATATTGCTTCGATTTCTTACCATGATGTGATGAGACAAACACATTGTTGTACCTCGTGTTTGAATCCATGTATGCTGGGCAGCGTTCCAGGATACAATGCTAGTCCTCGTTGGCAACTTGAGTGTACGTGTGACTTCCATGCTGTCGTCCCAATCCTCACCTGTACAGTAGGTCTATCTAGGAGCACTCCTTACATCTTCTCATGAAGCACCACACAGTCAACTAGCTAAACGGTTCAATGTTCAGTATATAATACAGAGTGTACTTGATTTGTGATAACAATGATGCAAGTTGTACTATTAAGTACATATTTCTGAAGTTATGATTTGACCATTTTGATTATAAATATATTCTGATCAATAAAGCTAAGGATCGTGATTTTATTTGGGTGTTTTTATGACATTGTGTGCAATGTCTTTGTGCCGCAAATATTCTGATACCTTTTTTGTTCGGTCTATTTTTGTTTTGGGTAAATTCCGGCTACTGCAATTGCACAAAATCACTGCCTTGACAGGCAATGTTAACTTACGTTTTTATGATAATTTATTATTAGTTTGTCTTGGAATATTTTTGTTTTAGAAACTACCATGCGTGTATTATATGCTCAGTGATGTTGTTGGACGAACCCCTCCTTCAGTATTCTTCGTTATTTATTTCTTCATCAGTTGAAACTGATATCTTTGTATATTCCCACCATCTTTCACTGTCTTGTTGAAATCATCCATGGCAAATTGTAGATAATAAACTATGTATATTTAAACCTGTCTGTGTTTTCTTCAACATCTATCGGTATGATCGCCTAACTGCCTAACAAGGACAATAGACAGAGAATGCTGTACGTGAGTGCGTGTCTTTCTGAATGAGGCAGAATTCTTTTTATTTTGTAAAGTTAGTGAACACATATGTGAGTGTAATAATCTCTTTATAATTTCTTGATATTATATTAATTTATCAATTTTCCATTGTTTATTCTTTTTTTCAGAAAACAATGCACAGATTACGATCACTTCAACAGTGTGTTTCGTGTGTGACATCATTCCGACCTTACGTGTTACCTTACACTAAGATGTAAATGACGTCAACAATGCAATCTTAATGACGTAAACTATGCAATAATGCCCATAACGTGCTATTTACACATATGGTTTTATTAACTTTGTGTATTTAACAATAATATGACATTGGTTTGTACGCGTCGACAATTTACGTATGTAAACATATTAATATTGTGTCCAACTTGCGGCAATATTCATCTCCCATCTTCAAGATCAGTGATGGGATCGGGTGGTCAGGATTGCTGATTCAGCTGATCCATGTCATCGTATACCAGTTGCGACGATCGATGCTCGTGTTGTCAGTCACAGGATTGTCTGGTCCAGACTTGATTATTTAGAGACTGTCGTCATACATCATTCATCTTATATTTTAATTGCAATAAATTCCTGAACACTCAGTGACTGTTGGGGTACGTAGCGTCCTTGACCTTGCTGTGTGCATATAAGTGCAAGGACGCATCATCGACACAGGTCCCAGTGCACACACAATTCATCCCTCCTCTTCAACACCGGTAAATGTTTAAGATGAAGAGCGTGCACGCTGGCACATTTTGTACGTGCAGAGAAACATTCTCGAACACAGAACACACGTCTGTATGTGCAGTGAAGTCTGTAACCAGTGATGTGTCCGGACTCACCCCCGGGACTATCACTCCAGCCCACACGATAGTTTATATCAGAGTTGGCCTTGGCATCATAGGGTGACGTCTTCATTTACATATGTGCTTCACATACAAGTTTAAAGTACACATATTATTTCAATATATCATCATGTGATATTATCTTACAACCAGCAACACACACATCTCACTATGGACCTATCTCTGGTCCATTAAAATCACATCACTTTTACTCCATGCGATGGTTGTCTGCGTCAAGATATGAAGATGGCAGCCTTCAAAAATGATTCGGCACCCTATTTTCACTTCATTCGGAAACTGCCAAGGAAAAATGCCCCAGAATACTGCTATGCTCCACGTGGAAACCCATTTGGGTGTAGATCCTATGTACATGATGCTGGTACACAACAAGATATAGAGAAAAGCTAAATGTAACTGCCTCATTGTCTAATGGATTTAGATGGCTCAATATCTGGCCGCGTAATGCCAAAACATGGTACTTATTGTTGCGGTGCCTGATGCTCGGCCGTTTGAGGATAAACGAATTTGTCGGCTCGGATACGATATAGCGAGAGAGGTATTTATGTTGAAACTGTTGCATGGTATCTCGGTGGGCTAGACCTATGACACTGACATTCGTCTGGACTAGTAGAGACACACACAAACACGCGCGCGCACGCACGCACACACACACACATTATAACAGTACAATCTGCAAATATATCTGTTTTCCTGATACAGAAATCCGACATGTTTGTCTGAATGCTTCGCTCGCAAATCTAATTAGCCCCTGATTCGAAAGTTCACCTCACTCCACGTATGGAGGTATCCTTAAATCTCCATGCAGAGCGATATCGTATGAGTGTAAAATATATCACAGCGATTAAACAGACGTAAGACGTCGCCTACACATCAGTGTAAACATCAAACATTAATGGCATATGTGATTCTGTAATTAGCGATGACAATACCATAACACTGCAACCTTTTAACACACATTTACAGATTCACATTCTGCAAAGATATTGTTTCTTTAAGTGTTTACAGCATAGTGGAAATGAATAATTATCGTAGTATAATGCAAAATCTTTGAATCGGTGAACGGGCGTTGATATACGTTATAATTGTTACTTTATTATTCTAAGTTTTCTTGTGTACTCAACGCAGTGCTTGCCTCAACAATCGTCAAAGTAATTATCATATGTCCGACATGACCATGAAATATTTATAAAGGCCACTGTATACACTTGACCCTTACCCTCCCCATGTCTCAAAACCTCCTACAGAATTACGTGTTGAAAATGTCTCCGAAATTCTAATCACGACAAACAGATATTTATGGGTGCTATGTTTTAACGCCCGCCTATATATCTCTCGACGACCTGGCCTGCAAATTCCATTTGTTCGGCCTCTGACTCAATTAGACCAATGACTCAGCCCTCTAACCAAAGCATGTTAAACCCATGTATCAACAGAGCTTCCTCTCAGTTCTCTATCGCCGAATCGAGAAGGCCACTATTGATAAGCGTGAAAACCTCTTAATATTCTTTCCAATAATAAAATCGGGCTGACTTATCAAATAATAGAGAAATATAATCTGAGGGCGGATGTCGTATTGGTCTAATTTTAGAAAAGGTCATTATACAGTATGATGGGGATTATTGGGAGGAAGAAAGGATCATCTGAAGGTTAGGGCCTCGTGTCTTGTGTAATATTAATTGGGAACAGCCCGTTGTTGGTTTCAGAATTAATGATTTTGTGACCAGTGTTAAAACTTTCATTCAAACAACATTTCAACCCTCTGATATTTTAATTAACAAGGGTGCGGTGGGGTAGCCTAGTGGTTCAAGCGTTCGCTCGTCACGCCGAAGGCCCGTGTTCGATTCCCCACATGGGTACAATGTGTGAAGCCCATTTCTGGTGTCCCCAGACGTGATATTGCTGGAATATTGTTAAAGCGGCGTAAAAAACAACTCACTCACTCACCAGGTTTGGTGTATATCAGTAGGTAGATAACAACTGAATGTTTTCATTGTGATCAGGTAAAATATATTGCTTATGTATAGGTACTAAACAAAAAGGTTAGGTATTATTGATATTTTGGGAAATATTTTTTAATATCCCAAAACTTGTTTAAGCTTCCGAACATCCGAATTTGTTCGTATTCATTGGGAACACCCATGGCTACAGTGTTGAGTCGTTCCAGGATAATGCCCGGGTTTGATTCCCCATATGGTACAATTTGTGAAGCCCATTTCTGGTGTCCCCCGCCGTGATATTGCTGGAATATTGCTGAAGTCGACGTAAAGCCATACTCACTCACTTACTTTCAACATGACGTTACTATATAACATGAATAAAATGAAACATATTATAAGCGGCGTCAAACAAACACACACATTTTTATCAATATTTGCTTTGAAATATCAAATTTGTTAAAAGTGTTATTTTACGTCGAAGAAACATGATATGTCTATAATCATATCTACACACTTTCAGACATGAAATTGACACGTTTGCGGGAGAGTTATGTACATAAAACGTCAGGACAACACTTAAATTTCGTCTATTTGAAATGTTTTTAAATATCCCAAATATTTGATCCAGGCGCCAAGTAAGCATCAAGATAGCACTAAATATAACAGTGAAAGGGTCATGACTTTGTACACAAAGCGCCAGATGGTTTTTGTCCTTGTGAGTTTGAGTGAAGTTTTAAATTAGAAACTGCTAACATGCTCTAGGCGACTAGCATCTAGTTACAACACAAGATAACGGCGCTATATACAGAACTATTTAATCTTGGTTACTGTAACTGTTCTTTAAAATCTGACATGTTTGGTAAGCATAAAATTGTTTGATTTTCACCAAGACTATTGGTGTTACCAATGTGGAAACTGGAAGATGCTAAAGCAGTGGTCTTATATTGCTGCAGTCCTTTTTTCAAACAATTGAAAACTGAAATCAATATTAAACTCAAACATAGTAGACAATTTGAGTTTGGTGAATAGTTTACTTAAGTTGTTTGGGCTTTTTTATTTTTTATTTAAAAAATGCATTTGAGTAAAAAAAATCAGCTGTTTCAAATTGTCAAACTTTTTTGTCAGAAATCGGGGCCTGGCCTTACAATTGTTTTTGCTGGCATCAGTATCATACGAATATTTGTATAGTGCCAGTATCCAGCTCAGTTGCTCAAAGGCGCATTTATTTTCCCTCGATCATTGGATGTCAATGTCAACGGCACATCGTATTTTCAATCTCAATTCCCTGGGGATCGTACAACTCTTGCAGCCATTTAGGCGCACCAAGTTAATGTGGCTTTCACATCAGGTTGTTTCAAAGTTAAACAACATATATGCGTAAGTTTCATTTTAAGCTGCTTATGGCAATGATTCGGTTGTATAATGACAATACACACAACAAAATTATTTCCGATTTCCACAGTGTGCATTAGAACATGGGTCGGACCTTAAACGGCTAGGCTACTCCATATTCTCTTTTTAAGATTGCCTGAATTATTTAAGAATGTTCCTCGTGCTACATTAATTAATTAATTACTTCATAATGATATTTAATGTCACTGTTATAATTTAATGATTTGAAGCATCAGAATATTTTTCGCGCATGGTTCTCATGTTGGGTTACGACCCGGACCTTCGTTGTGACGCGCTGCCGCTTCAACCATCAGGCTACCCAACCGGCGGGACGCCAGAGCGGATAAAGAGCGATTTGGGATCTGTTGTGAAGTAAAATGCGCCGAGGGAGCACTTTGACCACAATCACATTTATGGCATATTTCTCCAGCAATTGCATCTCATCGTTGTGATGGCAGTTAAGGCGACGCGGATCTGAGGCTTTTGTGAAACCACAGAGTTGCGTCCCTTCCATCAAAACGACAGCATTAAAATGTTGACAATATGGCTGTTCAATTCTGTTATCTTGTGAGACTAATTGGCACTTCATGTGTACATGTAGCTGTATCAAACATACACGTATTGGATTGTTTATACTGTAGTTTTCGTCATATCTGTGAAATCATGTACTCAACTCTTTGGTTTATTGCCAAACTACACGCAAAGAATACATCC